GTATGCTGCAGCAGGGTGTCTCCGTCGTTGAATCGCACGAAGATTAGAAACATTGTAACTGTGTAACTTCAATGTCAAATTGTCAAACTCGATGCGCCCCCCCGCCGAATGGGTGGGTAGATAATATACGTATTATTATGCCCGGCAGAAAAATCAAAAAAAAAAAAACGAATCCGTTTTCTGTGTATATTATGTATAATAATTTAAAACTACGCTTAAAATGATATTAAACGAAATTGTTGTTTATACAATATTCGTATACACCGGGTCGCATAAAAAGGTTATTGTAACTATTTAATGATTCGCACTAAAACGTATAATGGACCAATTGTATATAATATGATGGGCTGGGGTTATACCATATATTATTATTATAATATTATATAATCATAATAGCTGGCACCCTGTATACACATATTGATTCATTAAACGTTTATGCAACCTTGAACTTATTAGGTATATACCTATATCAATAGAAATTTTTTCGGGTTTGTATAAGACTGCCATTAAATCCTTAAGATGGCGCTACCCATAGACAAACGATTGCGACCATTATCTAACGGTCAACAGAATTCGCCTCTTTGAAATTGTTGGATTCTGTACAGAATAGCCTAAAACCCCCAACGAAAGCCCCCCTCCCCTCATCCGTATGTAGTCCCTCCTTGGATAGGTATAAAGGATATTTGATAGAGGGGTGGGAGCTCTATAAATGATTCTTTGGCCCGGACGCTGACCGGGTGCTAGGCGCTGGGATCTACTAAAATCATGAATTTTTTATAAATGTTATTGATACGTAATTAGTTAGATATTATATGTTATATAGACGACTACTATATGGATGGCGAATAACAGAAAGGCACCATGAAATGGTGTTTTATAGTACCTACATATAATTTAGTATTCAACATTCTAAATACAATTAGAATAAATATACTAAAAGAAAAAAAATTTAAAGTGGATCGGGACTTTGCAAAATATAGAAGTTGATATAATTTAATTTTTTATTATTCATATTCAGATGTATCATAAATATAGTATTTTTTTGCTATAATATATTATATTTTATATATATTATTATAAATATATAAAATTAATAATATATTATTATATATTATATATTTATATATATAAATTTATTGCTATAGCAACCCATAACAAAACCATTATATTTATAAGCGCTTTATGTTCATAGTCGTTGTTATTTAAAAATAAATAACTGTTATCAAAATTAAATTATAATTTAGCTATGCGTTGCTATGGTCACCAGGTTGCTATAGTATGTATAAATAAACAAAGTGGTCACGCTTTTTCGTTACGAAAAAATTTTTTTCAGTCACTACACCAGACCTGCGATAAAAGCTATGCAATAGCTTAAAAATATATATACTTACATAATGCGGCAGAAAGATCACTATTCCAAAACCAATGGCTGTGGTGGAGAAGAGAGATTCTAAACTAACTATATAGGCTAAAGATTAAATTAGTTGTCTTGACACTAAGTAAAACTAGAAACTAAATCATTGTCAAAGAATTATAAAAGAAAAGCTATACTTGCATGCTAAATGATTATAGTTTAACAATTATACCGATATAAGGTTAACAAGACATTAATTAAAAATTAAAAATTATTGAAATTACTTAAATTTAAGTATTGTCATCTTAAGGAAAATCGTCTAAATGTGTAAGTTTTTAACCGCGGTTGACTGTAGTAGATATTACCTATATACACTATTACATTGTCCAAAATTGTGTTATTTGTAAAACCCCACATTTTCTGAAACCGCAGTATTGATCATAATATCATATAAATATAATAGGCACAGGTACCTATATCATATATGTTACACCTGAACCAAATGATACACGGTCGTCATAAGAATATTATATGCACATAAAAAAACCCAAACCGTGGTTTTCCTCCTCTGTAAATGCGTCTGTATAGGTATATAAAGAAGAGTTGATGACTAATGACTATAACCTACAAATAGAGCCTTTTTGGAACACCCACAGTGTGCATGTCAATATTTCACTGCAACACGAAATCCAATTGTTATATTATAATAATAAAAATATAATAGGCACCTCTATTTAGGTATGGACCCATCACACCAATTTATGAGTAGGCGTTATAAGAATAAACACGTAAAAAAAAACATCATCATATTGTGGTTTTTCTCTCTTAAATGTACCTACAGGATAAATGACTACTGTACGAAATCCAATTGTTGTATATACCTATAATATAATAATAACGAGAGCAAAAAGACGACTCAAATTGATACATTTTTTAGGTATAGGTACCGATATTAATGTTATTACTCAAAGTCTATTAACACACCATTTAATGGGTCAAATACTCGTGTGTTGTGCCCCCCGCAGTATATAAAAAAATAAAACGTATTTGCTATAAATTTGATAAGTATTGCGCACCAATAGGTATAATATCAGTGGTTGATTAAATGAAAGATTATCCCCGTATAGCTATATAATCAATAAAATGCAGGCCCTATTTTTTAGTGAACCTCGACACAAAGTGTGTAGTCCGAAATTGGAAGTGTGCACTACGGATTTGATAAGTGTGTACTAATGAATAAGACTATAAAAATAAATAGATTATAATTGGCAGGTAACAATGTAGAATATAGTATATCTACATTAGTACATATTATGTAGTATACTAATATTACGCTAAGTATATACATAAAATTAAAAAATAATTTTTAAAAATGAAAATCTTTGCTGATAGGTACCTACCAAAAATAAATTGTTTTCAGTTACATTTTTACAAATTGATATTTACTTCTAAACATTGAATCGCTAATGAATTATTATGAAGGTTGGATACCTTTAGTTATTTCTGTGTTTTCGAATCTCTTAAATTTATAAAAAGTTATGCCCCATATTTTACTGAATAATGTATCAATTTAAATTTAAATTCTTGGTGCTCTTTGTCACTGTGTCATAATATCATTGTAAATAAAGTATGTAGTACGAATTTTTTTGATCAAATGTATACAGTAAATTATATTTGTTGTCTATGTACAAATATAGGTTAGGTCAACCTGCATGGTCGACCATATACTCTTATTAAACGTGAAATATATCATCTATACACAAACTCCATTCAAAACGTCCATTTAATTCGCAAAACAAATGATGTTTTCTTGTAGCTTTCGATCATAACAACCTAGGCGATTATGATATTATGCGATGTGCCTAAATATTATATTATATAATACATATAAATACGGTATTTAAAATACCTATACCGGAACACAACGTCCGTCAAAATTTTCGGTAAGATTTTTTTTTTCCATAACCTCTCGTAGTCGGACGTTTTATTTTTTTATTTCTTCAGCAACTCTATACTTACTTTATAACTAACGCACTTAACAGTCTGGACTTGTTTATCGTTTATATATATATATATAGGTACGCTCGCCGTAATCCGTCTGAGGGATTGTAATAATACGCGCGCGCGCCCATTCATTGCCAGTTAGCGTTAGTTTATCTGCGTCGAAATTTGATCTTTTTGTGTGCTCGTTGAGTGTACACACACACACACAAATTTCACATACAATAATATAATATGGACAACGTACACACAATAGTTTCTTTAAAATGTATTATCCGCAAACAACGGGTCAACGAAAATATCTGACGAGGCTCATCTCAGCGTCGAATATTATTATCATCGTTGTTGTTGTCGTGTTCCGTCTTGTAAATTCGGACGAGTATAATAATATTATTATTGCACTCGTTTTATAATATTGTACCCGTTTGATATATTATTATATTTTTAATACAGACGGCGTTATTTTAAAAGTTGAAAAGAAAAAAAAAAAATATAGTAAATAAATATACATCCAATAGGTTTATAGTAATAAAATATCGTTTATTATATTAATATTAATAATAATAATATATAGGCATATATAGGTACCTATATTATAACGACAACAATGAAATAAAAATAATATACAATAATAATATGGGTATGAGTATACACATGATTCATAAATAATAATTATTATTATATTACAACATATAATATATAATAACTGAGAATAGCTGAGTAATATTTTTTTTTTAACGATGCCATCGAACAAACGAACTTGCAAACGTGTAACATAATAATAATAATAATATTAATATTATATTAATTCAACAATCGAAATGCACCTATTTCCTAAAACATAATACATATATAGGTAGGATTACAGTATATATCTATCTTAATCTAGATAGTATCATAGCTGGGTCTTACATGGTAGACATATATTATAATTATTTTAAGGCACTTGTGACATGCTTATTATAAATATAAATACGTAATAATAATATAGAACTATATATACATACAATTATATAATATATAGGAAACATATTTATAAGCATCACGCAAACCCTATAACTTTGTATTTTAGTATAATATAACGTACCTAAATGTACTCGCGTATACGTATATATATATATATAGGCCCGATCTCGTGTGACTAGAACATAGACACATAATATAATTATATAACATATATACCGTGTAAAGTGCAGAAGTATAAAAAAAAATTCAAAACACGAATTTGATACTCAATTATATACTCAATCGTCCGCAGCTGTGATGTATTATTTTTACGATTCCAACGAAATAATAAATATAGTAACACACTATAACTTATATATGCCTACTGCACAATACACGGTACGCATATTTCTATATATTATAAGTGTATACGTCGTAACTATAATATTATGTACACCAATGATTATAATATAATAGTTTAATTTCGAGAGATCGATACTATATAATATATGTATAAAACGAAACGAAAAATAAAATAGTGTACCTAGCACAGGACTCAAATCGCCGAAAAAGCGTAAAAATTGCATTCACAATAATATATTATTATAATTATATGTACATTTGTGTGTGCAATAATATACACTCTCATAGGGTAACTTTGAAAAAAAAAATTCAATTTTTCTCTCTTACATCGCGTCCGCTACTGCTGCTGCAGATGATGATGGTGTCTGCTCATGGTGGCCTGGAGCAGGGCGCCGGCGGCCGCGGGGTGTATGACGGCCGTGGGCCTCCTGGGCGGCACCTGCAGGGTGGGCCTGAGCAGCTGACTGATCGAGTAACCGGTGGACGTGGCTGGCGGTGACGGCGACGGCCGCTGCTGGTGCTGTTGCTGCTGCTGCTGGTACGCGCCGGCGGACTGTGGCCAGAAGTACTGGTGCAGGTAGTCGAAGCCGGCCGCGGCGGCCGCGGCGGACGGGTAGTCGGCCACGCCGGGCCAGCCGGAAGCGCCGGCCGCGGGATGGTGAGGCGGTCCGCCGCGGTGATGGTAGAAAGCTGCGGCGGCGGCAGCGGCTGCGGCGGCCGCGTGGTGGTGATGGTGATGGTGATGCGACTGTGGCATGACGCTGTGCGGCGGCATCGGTGGACGGTACGCGATGCGGTGCCGGGACGATTGCGTGGACCGGCGGCGCAGCTTGCCGGTGGTGCCGCCGATGTACACGTCGCTGCTGTTCGGGTCGATCATCCAGTAGTTACCTTTGCCCGGGTCGTCGAAGCTCCGCGGTATCTTGACGAAACACTTGTTCAGCGACAGGTTGTGCCGGATGCTGTTCTGCCATGCGGGCGTGTTCATCCGGTAGAACGGGAACTTGTTCATGATGTATTCGTAGATGCCGCTGAGCGTGAGCCGTTTCTGCGGGCTTTCCGATATGGCCATCATTATCAGAGCGTTGTAACTGTAATTGGGTTTCTTGTTTTTGTCGTCGACCGGCGTCGGTGTGGCGGCCGCCTCGTCCTTGTTCTTGCCGGCGCCGTCCCGCTGCGGTGACTTGTCGCCTTTGGGCAGGTCGTCGTCGTCTTCCTCTTTGATTTCGGTCGTGGACGGTGACGGAGGGTGCGGACGCCTGTTGTGGTGATGGTGGTGATGGCCACCGCGGTGATGGCGGTGCACGTCACCGGGCGTCGTCGGCGGCGAAGGGCTGCCACCGGGCCGCGTGCTGTAGTCGACCGGGGCGCACAGACAATCGTCGCCACTACAGTCGCTGGCCTCACTGCCGGTGGTGAACGACCGGGATGTCGACGGTCCGGGGCTCTTGCAGTCCCGTTCGTCGTCCACATCCAGACGGCCCAATATGTGGTTGATGGTGAAACTGGGTCCGTTCAGCGATTTGGTCACCATTTTTGGAGAATGGGAGTATAAAAACACGCGAAATCACAAAATATTTAACTTGAGCGAGTCGATGGAAAATATGATAAAACGATAATGACGATCGGCGGATAGTGTCATGTGCGCGCACGCGATCAGAGCGGCGGCGACGAGCAAGCACGGTGTACGGACCAAAACGACGTTATGGTTTGGAAATAAAAATAATTCGTGCGATGCGAAGGGCGCGCGTGCGAACGAAACGTGCAGTGTCAGAAGACTGATCGTCGTCGGTGATGTGGTCGCCGCCGTGCCGAAGCGCAGTCCCGGCGTGACGGCGCGGCGGCTACGCCCGCCCGCCCCCGACCAATGGCAGCGGTGCCACGCCCAGCGTGGTCGGCTGCGGTGGTGCGTCGCTCGGCGCTGCCGTCGCCCGGACACCATTTGTCGCAGCTGCGCCCCCTTTTTCAGCGGTGCGCATTGTATTATATCGCGTATTATTGTATATTATTATCATTGTCATTCGTATTGTGTTTATTATTATCCCCACTCCTTTTTTTTTATATGTTTTCTGTTTTTTTTTTTTTTTAACTGCCCGCCCGCTCGCCCTCTCACCCCGTACTTACGCGCGCACACACATACGCGAAATATTAATATATTGACGAATGTTGTTATGCCAATATTGACACGGATATGTGTCAGTGTGTGAGGCCCCCGCTCGTATTAAAACGTGGACTTGGGGAGGGTTTATAATAATATTTGTTATATTATAATGTATGCGAGCCGTCTGTATATAGAATGCTACAGAAGAAGACTGTACAGGAGCTGTATGGTATGATATTATATCTGTAGGTATCTACTACCTACCTATTTATATGATTATAATATATTATACTTATTCATAAATTGTATTCGATTTCTGCGGTGGTCTTGTTCGGGCAGTTTCCGGCTAAAAAGGTCCATACAGTGAATAACCAACTATAGGTAATGTTCTTGTATCTGCAGCATATTTGAACGACGCAAATAGTCTTCAGTCTTCCTCGAGGATTTAGCCCTATCAGTCATATAATAATATGTGGGTACATATATAACAAGAAACAACCCTTTACTGTTTTACCTGTATATATTGAATATAGGTACCTGAATCTATAGAAAATTGCGTGTGATGCGGTGGTCGGATGTTAATTATATATAGATGATAAAATATATACTTAATACTTATATATTATGTATTAATAGAGTGACTATATTTACATATATCGGTATAATATATATAAATTCTAGGAAATTTAATGAATTCAAATGCGTTTATTATTTGTATAGATGATTTCTGCTCTTATGCAATAATTATAAATAAGTTTAGGTTAGGTTGTATATTATAGAATATCAAAGAATGTTTAAAACGTTGGATTCGATAAATGTATAATCTATTTTACATATTTAAACTTAAAATAACAATCTCAAAAATGCGCAGTACTTACCTATATATTGTATACTCGTACTCGCACATATATAATAAAGATGACTCACTATCCGTTTTTTATTTTCATTTTGTACATTTCTAGATCAAGGCGAGCATATATAGGTAGGTACAAGTGTACAATATATTTCGTAGTAATGTGATGTTCTTATATAAGCACGCATCAATATGTATAATTACCACGCATGATGAACTTGTTATTTTCGCTGCACACTTTGCAGTAAACAATATAATATATATATATATTATAATATGTTACTGAAAAACCAAATAATACATCCTTCATCGAAGTTTCGATATGCACTGCAGACGAATATATACATACCCGCGGGTTGCTGCAAAGAAAAACAGAGTCCTACTATACATATACATATTATTATATTGATACATTTTAATAATATATACAAAATTCGGACGTTCTGATATAGTTTTGTCGTAGAAACTGCTTCATGTTGAAAAGTCTGTCACCGATTTAAATGTAAGTATAATATTTATATAATATATAGGAATGACGCATCATACAACGAGTTTACGTGCAATTCAATTCCGAAATAATTGATATTAATAATAGCTAATATTTGCATATATACCTATTATTTGAAATGTTTAGTAAGTAGGTACCTAACCCATACATAAAATATTGCAAAAAACCTTTGAAGTGTTCGAAGTCTATAAAAAAAAAAATATAAATACCTATAATTCTATAAAAACGTTACCTGTATAGGTACTGTGTACCTACATTTATTTTTATACCCAACATTTATCTGAAATCATAATAAGTAGTTATATAACATATATATAACAATATTTATAGGTTACATAAAATAGGCTATACAAACGGCTAATACAATTTATCTGTGAGAATAAAATCATATTCAATAGTAAGCATATATATTATAATATATTATATTGTCACATATATGGCCTGCAGCAAATACGACACGATTTCCGAGACGTGTTAACGCGTTTATTACATTTTTTTATTTTTATCTTTTCCTTCATTTTTATATGGTGTCACAATTTCGGTATATTCGTACGAATTCGCGATCGTATACCATTACAGAACATCTCATGTATGCACACGTCATATATATTATATTATTACATATATTATATACAATGGCAACGCGCGCGCGTAATAAACCCTCGACTGCGGGCACGAGAACTGCACATCGTAATGTCGTATTATATATATATATATATATATATATATAACCGTAAACCATCATACATTTATATATGTATATAATAATAATGATACGGTCACATTGAGTGTAATACATGATAATATAATATAATACTCGCACACCGCAGCGGCGGTATTTTTAAAACGAATAAAATAAAAGTATAAAAAAAAAAATATATATATATCTCACTAGCAGATGTTCGATGCAGTTTGTCGATAAATAATTCGGTGTCACTTTGCGTGTTAGGCGGCCCAAAGAACCGTATAGTGAGTGTGTACGTGTATACTGCACACTGTGCGAGGTTAATATTCTGGAAAAAAAGGAGAGAGAGAAAAAGTGTCTACAAAAACTTGGGGACAATGTGCGTATATATATATACACCGTACACGAACCGCCGTCGTCGGATTTGTCGGTGCACTATGTATAACTCGTTAAAGGAGATATTTTTTTAAATTTCATACAAGTCTCTTTATAAACCTATGTATAATGTATAGGTATATGAAAATATATAACATCGTCACGGTATATTATATTGCGTACTACCTACCTACGATATATACATATAGTTATACATATAGGTACGTTAAATTTTACGTTTGAAATTTTTATCGACGAGTTTAAAATAATTTGATGATACAAGCATAATAGCATAATAGTTGTATATGTAGTGTCGTCACTACAATAATTCTTTTCATATTTATAGCATAAAGTATAGTATATAGGTTATCCGGGGTAATATAAAATGTAGAAGACGTTCGTAAAACGCGATCTGAACTCCCAAATTGTGTAAAGGTACGCTGTTTCATGTAACTGGTCATCGACATATTTTACTAAAATATTTAATCGAATATTATTATATTATGTTATAGTGCATACAATAAAACGAACAATATTTATGAAAATATGCGTAGGTATATCCGAATAGGTAGGTCGTAGTAGGTACATAATAATTATATACTTTTTAAATGGTAAATAATTTATTATTCGATGCTGCAGCTGGTATATTATAGATGTTCAGACGCTTTGCAAAAACAAGGATAAAAATTGTAAATTGAGCAAATTTTTATTTATTAACTATTACCTATATATAGGTAAACTGCTGACCTATGTATTGGATTTCAATAATTATATAGTGGGTAAATATACATATATACCTAATATTATGTTATCTGTGCTGTAAATAAATAGGCCTGTACTAGAAATAATTTAACATATTAAAGGCTACATAAAGTGAGTATATATTATCATATATTATATCATATAGTCGTTAAAAACAGATCAACTACATATATTATATTAACAAGTACCTATGTTTAAATATATCTAAATTTTTACGCCAGCTGCAAACATGCGGATTCATTCATAAATACGGTAAGGTAGTTTATTGAACCTATGTAGTATATAAAGTCATTTAAATCTCGAGAGTGTCGAAAGAAACGTAAAAAACGTATTTTCCCGAGATTCGATATAAATCCACGATAATAATATAATATTACCTATAAATCATAAAAAGTAATATCATCCAAATAAACTTGTACATAATAAAATATAAACACCTAAATTATAATAATGTACCTACATAATATTTTTAGTTTTTATAATTTCTAGTGCGGCAGCCGACGTCCGACGTACAAATTTAATGTATAATTTATTATATAGGTATATGTACCTACTGGATCTCGCAAATCAGAGTGGTCGGACTCGGTGTGGTTGGTATATAATATTATTATACAACATACCATATGAATAAAGTATATTAAATATATTATATTGTTATCATGCAGTAGGTAGGAATATTATATAGGTATACTATATAGGAATTAGTAGTCATATAATATCCATTATCCATAGCATATATTCATCACATTATTGACGTTAGATAGGTATAATAATATTATTATGTCGGTGAATGATGATAACCGATATGCAAATCTTGCGTGATAAATATTCAATTATAAAATTCACGGAGCGAAACATTTATTGAGCTATATAATTAATATCAAACACAATTTGTTTACCCTTTAACTGCCTGTATATGATATACACTCGTCTTGTGTGTATAAATTATAATTATAGTTCTGTAGGTTCCCATATAGTCCTGTATATAAATAGGTAATATAATATTTATTCGTTTTGTTTTGAAAACAATATCGTGCTCACATCGGCCTAGCATAGGTACCTTATACCTACCATATATTATTATATTATATTCCTCGGAGGGATATCTATTTTCCGTCTCATGATATAATAATAATAATATTATATAGTAATAAATAATAATAATTAACGATTGTGTACGAAAACATTATTATATTATAATATTGTCATGACTAATCGTCCGGTTTGCGGGTAAATACTTTTAATAACGCTGCAGTAAATGCTGTTATAACGACTAATTTATCGTATTTTCATTGATAATAATATCACATAATTTTACTACTAACTATTTTATTTTATTATAATACCAATTTGTATTGTGTTTGCTGTACACGGATATATTATTATGTACGGTTACCGCAGTATAGGTATACCGCTTCATACCCCATATAATAGCTATTATACCCATTATACCTATTAGAGCGTGTGAATATATCCGATCTTAACGAGTGTAATAATAATATAATATGTTTATGTAGGTACACAATTATTCGATATTTTTATTTATAATTACTTAATATATTATAGTAATTAATATTGTCGTTCCGGTTCGTTTAACGATCGCCCAAATACTCGGAAAATATTATACTCACGTGCAAGTATAGTAAAATTTTATTTTCTCACGCACTGGCCGAATCAGCTACATATTATATAAATACAATATTGCGTAGGTATTACGTTTTCCAGGTAAATAATTTATCATCAATTTTTCCATCCGTGTGAAAATAAAATCTCAGCTGCATCTTTATGTAGGTTAGGCTATTAATATTTACCACAATGTTATAAATGTCACAATTTTAGTCTATGACAAAAGTATAATATTATATTAGGTATTATATTAGGTAGGCATTATACAAAATATTAAGGTTGAAGTGTGTATACACTATACAGTATAGTGACAAGTATTTTACAAAACTTGTTTAATAAATGAACACATAATATGCGTTGTATTATAGTAGGTAGGTGTTTGATTTAATGTTTTTTCACGGAACGAACTTACCTGATATTTTTTTTTTTTTTAGGTAATCTTCATCAGTCATTTATTACAATTATAATATTTAGTTGTTATTGCTACCTTACCAGTAAACATCTCTGAATTTACCATTGAGCACTTAAGTGCACCCATATAATAGGTATTATTAATTTCATCTTTCGAAAAACGGACCGACAGTCGGGTCACGGATTTTATGGAAAACATAATATTTCTAAACGTAAACAAAAAATCTACATCGACCCGTCTCGTGTGTAAGAAGTTTTCTCCGAAACACCACAACGAGCTGCAGAAACGACATGCTTACAATATCCATCTGACACATGACCTTGTATTCCATTTATCTCAACAATTAACGTTATATACCTAAACAGACTTAGGTACTAATAGCGAAGACGGCGAGGAACCCGAGATTTGTTCACCTCACATAATTTCGAGGCAGACATGCAGGTATAATAATGTCCGGTTCATATTCCGCCATTTTCCAAAACGGAAAAAATCCAAAAAAATGCATTCATTATTTTTACACCCGTGCAGTAGTAATTCGTGTACCTACCTATAATATATTAGAGTATTTATTATTGTTGTAACCACGCTCGTGTAACAGGTACCTACCTCTTATACCTATACACATAGTAGCCATCTACTGTCGCGTGTATATGTATATAACGATAATATTATGTTGTTGTAACCTTATGTCGGCTGTCACACGTAGAGTACCAGCAGTGTATATAAATCTACGGTCATTGGCGGTTATTTATTATTATTTATTGCCTCGGCGACTGCGGAGTTTTTATTATTATTATATTATTAGCGAATATTCTTGTCCGACGTTTTTGCGGCTCAGCGTGCCATTTCTTCGTCTTCACCAAACCATCTCCTGCAGCCATCATCTCATCCCTTGCCACGTATGATACTCCGCCGACCAATCGCCTCTCCTCTTCTCATTATGGATATTCAGCTGCCGGGAGCAGCACACACGATAATCGATCGCATAATAATAATAATAATTGTCACGCGCGACGTATATATACAAAACGATAAATTATACCTAAGGATATTTTTCACCGTTGCCGCCTCGTCAGATTGCCATCGTCCCGTCGCCTGGTCGCCGCCAATACAGTCGTCGCGTGCAGATCGCATATCAGATATATTATTATAAGTACCTGCCTATATAAAACACACAAATACACAATATATAGAGGTATAATGATATTATATATTGTTTTTGGGTATGAATATACGCGTTATTGCGGTCTTACTTGTTTACGTGACGCGTGTACCCCATGAGATCGAACGAAACGACTTTTACACAATATCATATACTTATTACAGATATACCTAAGCGTATATGACAAGTAGTTATTGTAGCTAGTAAATTAGTATGTTTCATGTGACTTGAATTGAAGTATCGCACTCATCGGCACAACTATACCTATCTGTTTACACCTCGTGAGTTACTCGTAATTCATCGAACCTATTCGTATATAATCGTACTATCATTAAACTATACAAGTATCATAGTTGTATTTCATCATAAATTCGGCACAATAACATACGAACTACGAGTACATAACAGGTATAATATGGGCCTGATCATCCACAGACTTATACAAGTCCACATACAGGTCACAATGAATAGTTACACACTATGAGTTGTACATTATATAGAAACTTATTAACTAATATATAATATTTAGTGTTTATTTTGTTTTTAGTACTTATATCAAGAATTGTTTAATAGTTTATCATTAATCATTATAATATATCTCCATGACTTCATACTGCAGATGATATATTATATAAGATATCAGCAATTGCCAACGGATAAACTGCAAAACTAACAAATTGCACATTAATTTACCATCTGGCGTCTACTGTACAATTTTATAACTTAATTTTAATAGGAATTACTTAGACGTATATTGCAGTTAGTATTACAATATAGTTATTGCGTACAGTATAATAAGTAGATTTGATAAGGGCATAGATAATAATATAAAGTATAGCAGGGTTGGACTAGCCCACCGGGATACCGGAAATTTCCGGTGGGCCGCAGCAAAAAGGGGCCGTACTGGCGTACCGCCGTAACTATTAATAAATTATATTGGACCGCGAGTATGATGGTGGTTATCTTAATTTGATAAAAAAAAATTTATTTCAATCGTTATTTTATGGAATTTAATATTTAAATCAATTTAAATTGATAAAAGGACAGAAATAATTATTGTATTATTATGAACAAAATTAAACTACCTAGTAGATGAAATTAATAATTTGATCCCGGATAATTTGCCAAATGTGCGGATACGTTAGAAAAAAACATTGTATGGTGAGAACCAAAATGAAACTGTTACTGAAACTGCTATTGACTTGTTTTAAATTTAATGTTCATAACACAGCGATGGATACAGTGATTTGTAAACTAGAACAACGTTTTGCTAAACACGCTGAAATATGTTCAGATTTTACATGCTTAGATCCTCGTCAATTTTCAAAACCATTGCCCACAACTGCTCTTTTCAAACTTAGTAAAGTTCTTGGATTAGAAAATACTTCTATTTTAAGGGAAGAATTTCTAGATTTTACCAAAAAATGGGATAAGCTTAAATTAAATTTACCTGAAGTATATGAAAGTTATAGAAGTGATGAGGAAAATGAACTTCCAGAATTAGATTTAGAATGTTTGCAGAAAATGAGTTGAACAAAACCTATGCAAAACAAATATACGGTGTTTTAAAATGTTTTCTTTGTGTTTTTAATGTATTGTTTAATATAGATTATATGTTAAAGCATATAGCAATTTATTTTTAGCCTATATGTATATTTCAACACTATCATGCACTCAGGTAGGCTGTGAAAAGAGTTTTTCTACCTTAAGTTTTATTAAAAACCTACTTAAAAACCGTCTATCGATGGAAAATCTGGATGTATGAATGTTAATGCATTTAAATAAAGATATTTTGGAAACATTAACATATGAAAACATTATTGAGGAAGTGATAAAACATAGCTCAGTATTCAAAAAAATGTTAGTTGTTTAAAAATATATATTACCTACCTACCTTTACAAAGAATTATTATTATTTTTATTAAATAATTTATGTATTCTACTTTGATGAAATTTTTCATATTTTGTTTGACAATGTATTTATATTAATTGTTTTTTTATTATATTATATTTAAAAAAAAATAACTCATGACAAAGGCTAGTCATACACCTAACACAATATATTTTTTTTCTTGAAGGGGGGAGCTTATATTATTTCCTTCTATAAATTATATTTTTAGATAATTCACTATTAACTAACATTTTTTTTTATAATAGAGCTTGTCCCCTTAGGTTCAACTACGTGGCTGGTCAAAAGAAGCAGGGCCGCCAAAAATAGAATTTCCGGTACACATTTTGGGGCTAGTCCAACCCTGAAGTATCGTACCTCTAAGATATTTGACGGATATACAGTAATTTCTATATTATTATATTGCAATCATAATACTGATACTTAATACTTTAGGCACGGTGTCCAAGCCGCAATGACTTTTCGGCTATGGAACAGCATTATATATCCACTGCGGCCGGCGACTGTATACTGGTCCTATACTATCCTCTGCTTGGACACCGTACCTTAAGCGTCGATTACACTGAGCGAATTTACTCGTTGGCGAACAAAGTTGCGCGAGTGTGAGCGTGTAATGACCTGTCCAATTACAGTGAGCGACAGTGGCGTATATACGAATTATTTTCACTATTAGTTATCACTAGTCAAGCATAGCACGACTAACATAGCCATAACCATCATTTTTTTAGGGAGCTGGGTGGTTATAATTATGACATATACAGTAAAATAAAAATTGCGCAATTTAATTTTATAATTATTATTTAAAATTATTTTTCAAAAATATTGACAGTGTCATTAATATATTTTAATGTTATCTAACTAAGAATTTAACATCTGTCAATAAGTCATCAAAGCAAGTCCTGACAATCTAACATTTTCTTGTTGAATCCTCAAAAACGATTTTAATCAACCACCTACTTTAATCATGGTGAAAAACTATATACAGTGTATATATATGTATGTATATACGTGCAATGCTTTAATTGAACCTGCAATTTCACTATGGGCTCTGGCCTAGGGGGCCTCCCCCCTATATACGCCACTGGACTGAGCGGTTCAATTCTCTCGCTCGCTACCAGTCACTACTTGCTGGTACACTAGCGATTTTTCCAGCTAGGGCGATTACATTGAGCGATTTTACTCGCTGGAGTGTAAAAACACCATCGATTAGCGACTAAAGTAGCCCGGCCGTCAACTTTAATCGCGGGTGAGCAGCGAGTACCTACTCAACACGCGGCGAGTAAGCGAATAGACCGATTACATTGAGCGACTTTAGTCACAGCGAGTAAATTCTCTCAGTGTAATCGATGCTTAATTACTGTTGTTATATATCGTCGCCCGTCGGCCTAATTCGCAAAAGTTGTATCTCCATTTTTTGTCATTTTGAGATTATTTACTCATAAAATAAAGAAAAAAAAACTGCGTCTGTTGATACAATCAAATTTCCGATTTCATAATATTATCTTCCATGAAATTGATAATTAGAAATCGTCGTATCTCCAATTAATAATATGGCCGTAAAACGTTTTTTTCTTCTCCTGAACAATTTGTAATTTGGACATACGACCTTTGCGATTAGGCCGACGATATATAAATTATATATTTTTACAGTTCGATAAACAACGAACGGGTGGTAACTGTTTACCACAATACTGCCATCAGCTAAATATTAAAATATAAAATATATTATAATATTCCTTTTATTTTTTTGCTTAAGGTAGTATTATAAAAAAGAAATCGCAGTTCTGCTTATTCGTTTGTTATCATATTATAATATAGACATAATATAATAATAATTAAAAATAATAAACTATAATTTACTACGATGAGGTCTATTGTCGTTTCTATTTGTTCATTTCGTAACACTTTATACCGTTTTATACAACAACGCTGTCAATGTCATAAACATAATATTGTATACAAAATAATATATAATTCAGTGTAAGCTGAGAATTCTAAACTTAGGTTACCGTTACCTATACGCGTCGTATTTAATATCTAAATAATTAAAATCCCATTCGGTTATGCGGCAAACAATCGGTCGATTAATTTCTAACGTTGACCTAATTTGAAGCCGGCGACTAGTCAATCATATTTTTATCATGTACTTATGTAGAACAAAATGTTCGCTTCGAGACAATGACAACATTAATTTATATTAATTTAAATGTAATAGATTTAGTTTTGCTATATTATTGTACATGCGTACAATTTACAATATAGGGCTTCTTGTGGGCCTATTTGGCATTTAGGCGCCAAGTTCACAATAGTACCTAAATAAAATGTTGATATATAATTAAATCGAAAAAATGAACGAGTGACATTTTTATACAGCCATCACATACCCAGCACACAGAATTGAGGTAGTCTGATATAGATTTTCGCTCTGTTCGAGTAAAGCTATATCAAGCTAGATCTGTTATCGATCGGGTAAAAACTCATTTGATTCAATTAAAATGGTATCATAACATGCGAGAACAAAATATAATAGTAGTAGAGGTATATTATAATAGTTGCATAAATTGTGTTAGGTATCAATATTTTTACTTTATATTTGATCGTCTTAGAGCCTAGAGGTGCAGGTCACGTGTCACTTCTCACATTTTGCTTTTTACAATTTATTTACTATAGGTAAACCTATAATATTAATATTTTTATTTTTTGTACATCAAATACACAGGGTTGTATAGCTTACATTATGACCCTTACATTAATATTGGTCTGTATATTAATTTATACACTTAATTTTTTTTATAAAGAGTTTATTTTCTTGACATCAATGGCATCCTAAATAGGTAAATGTTTTAAAATAAAATACAATTGTTTCATAAGGATTGTCTGGAATGTACTATAGTTGGTTTTTGACCTCTGTGAAATGTTGACAGTGGATTATAACGTATTAATGTGCTGTTTGACTGTAATTTGTAAATTGCATGTCGGGAGTAATGAAGGTTGTCTTTCACATGTGAAATTCTCGAGCAGTCACTAACAGTGTAACTGCTGTTAGTATAAAATATTTTACAATGTGTAGTGTTCATATATTATACTATTACAATTTATATTATTGGATTATTATAATAGGTATGTATAGGTTTCTGGTTCATTCTTTTATAAATAATAAGTAATTTTCTTGGTAAATATATGCCTTATTTTGAAGCATATTTTTTACAAAACCTTGGTGTAGGTACCTAAATAATTTACAACAAAACATTTTTGAAAAAAAATGTATTTTTTACTACTTTGTATCTTGATTTATGGATTATACGTACCTAAGTAGTATTACAACAAGGGTAGGTATCCTTAAAAAATGCTGACTCACAACTCTATATAGCTGCTTAATAATTAATATCTAATCTTTAAAAACTTACCTACCAATATAAGAAGTTGGGTATAAAGCCTGCAGTAATTAACAACTGCAGATTCGACATTTTAAAATATCTAAACCCTCAGAAAAATATTCGGCTTTGCTGGGTTAAAATTAAAAATGTATAATGACGATATCTAAAAAAAATCAACACAAAAAATATGGTAAAAAATAACCTACATAATATATCCGAGTACCCAATATATATTATACGAATGTATCCACAGCTCGTGTTTAGTAAAGAATCACGCTCGTTGTTGGTATATAAAATCTGATGCCATACGCAATATTGGTAAACATCTAGGTATCAACCACCTCTATATAACGTGTACGCGGACGCGTGTTAATGTGTCGCGGCGTGTGTACCTATATAATAATAATATATTATAATATATTGTAACGTCAACGGAGCAGTAGCTGCAGCCGGTCGTTTAGGTTATTATATTTTTCGAAAGAGATACAATATACGCTGTAGTCGTCGCGATGTCGGCCCGCGACCGCACAAAAGAGAGGACCCCAAAAACCGACTTCTGCCGCCGCTCTCGGCCAGCGGCAGTCAATCAGCGGCGTGTTTCGGGTGCGCACACGTTATGACGATTATATTATATTCTGGCACCGCACCTCCCCGCGAGCGCGGTTCGGATCGCATTGTGTTTTCGGTATAATAATATAATATTTTTCCGTATAATATAAATAATATATGTATACGACCCTCGCACCCATCACATACATAATAATATAATGCTATCGTTTCGACCGCGCGGCGCACGCAGCACACACAAACACTGCAGAGCGGGAGTGTTTTGATACGTCGGACGGAAAAAAACCTCCAGAAGTCAATTTATTATGTCGTGCCCGAGAAATGCTCTTGCGGATTCCTCGGAACGCCGTCGCGTTATGTGTCTCATATTATTATTATATATACGTTTGGCGGCGGCGTCGGTGTACCATATAGTTGTTGTTTTCGTTGCACACGCCCCCGTCAGCGCCCGAGATTGTGATGGGGTGCCGGGGTTGTCAAAGAGCAAAGTAAAAATGCCGCGAAAGAACAACATAATCGCATAAATATAATAATAATAATAATATATACAGCATAATACCGTATGCGTGTACATGTGTATACGACGTGTGTAGGTATATATATATGAGTATACCGCGGATACCGAGAACCGCAGAATAAAGAACGCGCCAAAGGCGGCGAGCCACATGTTTTCGGCTACC